CTTACGCCTGCTGTACGCACGGGCGGGGCCTCCCCGCGCCGGTAGGGGGTGCTGGCCGCGTGACCAATCAGCGCAGCACGTTTCAATTTCCGCCTATCTAAAGCCCGCCTTCTTTCTTCAGCGCATGCGCTGTTGCTCCGGGTACATGCTTCCCCTTAACTAGCAAGCCGCAGTGATACGCATGCGCGCTCTCGGTGGTTTGTTGCGGCGGGCTGGGTCTAGTTAAGAGTCTGGGGCATTGTGGAGCTGGGCCTCGAAAGGTTTAATGCTTCTTCTCTCCCCTCCGGGCTTCGTCGTGCAGGAGGCTCCGGGCGGTGACAGGTACCGCGCGGCGGGGGTGGGAATGGGGCGGCTGCTGTTTTATTTTCAGGTCAATATGGTATAGGCGTGTATACATATACATGTTATATGTGTACACACGCACATGCAGGTGCCTTTATAGTCTTGTGTGTATGTTTGCCGATACATACATATGTGTATCTGCATATATGTATGCATGTATTAGGTGTGTTTGTACATTCTATGTATATATAGCATATGCTGTAACTCATTTCATCAGATGCCGAAGGCCTGACCAGCCGGCTGCCAAGCACTGTAACCTTCTGGGACCTTGGAGCAGCAGTTTGTAAACAGCTGGCTTTAAAAAACAACATAAATGTTAAATTGCAGAACAAGGAATCACCTTCAGCCTTGTCGGCCTGGGAGGGGTGAAGCTGGGGCTCAACAGAGACTACGGATTTTTCTTCTGTTGCCTGAACAAGCTTTTATAGCCCCAGTGGTCCTCAAAGAGTGAACTGCCTTGTTGATCCCTATAGACTTATTCAACCTACCTCTCTCATTAGTGCCTCCTCCCTTTATCCTTTGTATTCAAATTCCTTTCGATTCAGAAGATTTATTTGCATCTTGTAAATTTAACCAAAGCATATGTCTGGCACATGCTTTTGTGAGATGAAGTTCACTTCATCAGATCTTACTAGCATTTGCCAATTGCTGTAAAGTTGTTTTCAATATTTTTAATCAAATCAATGAAAATAAAGAAAATGTTTGTGCTATAGCATTGCAGCCTTGGCAGCTTCTTTGGTAACATCTTGTTCCAGTGGATACTATGCAAACTCTTTTTTTTTATTTTTTATTTCTAGAGGAGTGGACTACTTTGATCAAAGGATGAAAAGTACTTGTGCGAGTCCAAGAGCGGCATCTCGGAGAGTTTACATTACAACGATAAAGCACTGCTGATGAGAGAAGATGCATGATGTTTAAAATTACTAGCCATCGCTGGAAATGTTGTCCGCAACTCTGTAGGAGAGCAATATAATAGATTGGGGTGTGCAGTTATAGGGCAGCAAGTCCATAATGTTGTTCTCCCTCATTGGCCTGGATTTAGTAACATTAATATTCTAACAAATTCTGGATGCATGATACGTGTGTACAACTACTCCAAAGGATGGAACAAACTAAAAGTAAGCTTTTAAAAATACAGCATTTTAAGAGACGGCTGGCTCTTTTAAGGGAATTTTATCACATTTTTAAGAGTGAACCTGGTAGGAATGATAAACTTTCCCTTTGAAACTGGACACCCATCTAGAGCAGTGGTATCCGATTCATCTGGCCCCATGGATGCAGAGTGTAGAGCTATGTGATCTGCCCTGTGGGCCTTGAATTTGCCGGTGGTTGTGTTAGTGCTTAATTGCTGCAACTCTCAGGGTCTTGGCAGCTGCTGCTTCTCCTGCCATCAAATTTCCAGCCCTGTGGAAAGCTTTGCAGGCCAGATGATGCAGCTCTGTGCTCTGGATCTGGCCTGTGGGGTTCACCGTGGCTTCAGAATTTGGCAGCAGGACAAGTATCAGCATTGCAGGAGAGGCAGGTTGAGGGACTAAGGACTTATCATTGGTTTTCTGTTTTAAACAAAAAAGCTTTCTATAATCCATATCTAAGGAAGAAGGGATGCTTGTGGTACTGTATAGGTTAGTAAAAAAATAATATGAGAAACAAACATTGAATTGGACTGGTCTGAAAATGTTTATGCATTATTTTTTCTAAAAAATACACTAGTAGCATGCAATAATCGTTTTGTTAGTTGAAGTAAGATCATGATTATATAAAAATTAGAAGCTTCTTAATAAGAACTAACATGACCAATCCAATTGATTTAAATTATTCTAGCTAAGTTATCATTGAGGTGCATAAAACTGAAAAAATTGTTCAGAAGAATATTTTATCAGGAAAAAATGTAACCTTCCTTTGGTTGTCCTTTCTTTTTTCAACTGTGTGTGACAAGGTATTAATGGTAAACGTTCTCTTTGAAACTGGACACCCATGTAGAGCAGTGGTATCCAGCTCATCTGGCCTCCCGGGGTGCACAGAGTGGCAGGAGCCTCCCCACCCCCGCATCCCCTGGACGAGCAGCGGCTCCGTTCCACACCCTGCCCTGGCTGGGCAGCACTTGCCACAGCCCCACTCCCTCCCTCACCGTGAGGGGCCTTAATCTGGCCTCCCCCCCGCCCCTTCCACCACAACAGACTTACCAGCTGGCCATAGCTCTTGAAGCTGCCAGGCTGTACTTCGTGCATATGCGTGGGCCATTTATCAGCCACATCAGGCTGATTTCTGATACAGTCAACTTTTTTTATATTGGTGCTGATCCAACATCAGACTGATGTCGGTGCACTACTAGCTATGACACTAGTCTTGCGATCTCTGGGCTGTCAACTGTGCACCTTAGTGCCTGTGCCACCCCATCCTCCTCCTTTAGTGGTGCCCAGATTTAGAAAGGAAAACATTTGAGTCCCTGCTAAAGGTCTTTCTGGTCACTGCTAGACTCTGGTTGGGCTGAAACTCAAGCCCTACTGTACTCTGTGGGTGAGGAGAACTATGCCATTAACCACCAGCACTTGTTCGATAATCCATCAGAAGCTTTACTGACTACAGAATTATCCATTAAACACAAAGCAATTAATCAACTAGGGTTGACCATATACAAGTATTCAACTCTACTGGGATTGCCAGAAAATAAAAGGCAGTTACAAAAACTGTGTGTGTTAATGTGACTCCTCACCACGTCTCACTCTGTCGAGAGCTGTTACTCAAGAGGCACTCCCCTCAGTACTGGGTGAGCTTCCTGGGTTGCACTGCTCCAAATACAAAAGCTTGGTCTTCCTTGAGAAATTTATGCAGTTATCTCCCTCAGAAATCCATGCAGGCAATTTGGACAGCTGACAGCAAACAGTGAACCACGATTTCATTTGCTTAGGTTATTTAACCCTTTGGTGATGTCACCATTACCAAAGCTAGCCAAGCTTGTTATATACTAGCTAATTGCCTGTCAAGAATGACAAGGGGGTGGGGGCTGGGATGGGATGGAGTGCCTCCACCTAATCCCCCATGCTGCTGCTGTTCTGGTCCTTGCAGGGAGCGGGGTGGGGGAGCTGAGGGCAGCATAGCTGGTCCCAGCTCCCCCACCCCCTGTCTGGTCCTTGGCGTAGCTTCAGAATCATGGTGGTGCTCCCCCGCGCTTGGAGCACTCTGGCTGTTTCCATCAGCTAGTCAGAGTGCAAATAAAGTGTTACGGACAGACAGGCTTAGGCTTTTATAATATTAGAATTTTGGCTTAGATCCTAATTGTACAAGAGCACATCCTTACACATTTGGAATATTTTCCTGTTATCATCCTGTACCCACATTAATTAGTCCTAATGGTTACCACGTTATCATCTTAATTTATGGTTCTATTGTTCCAGTGTTCTGGGTGTTGCCTGGCATTAATTTTACTGGGGTTAACTTTAGGCCACAATCATTGCCAATTCTTAACTGAATCATCTTGAAAAGGCTTCTGGGAGTTCGGTCAACTTGACATGACCAGATTTGATTTTCCTTAGAATACTCTGCTTCACTTTGTTTTGATTTAGGCACAGAATTTTGAAACCAGTGGTGTCTGGACACTTGAAAATCCTGTTAGGCGCCCTTCAAATAATTTTAAAAGTCTGGCCATTAGGAACTGAATGGCTTTTTTTAAACAGATATCTGTATTTTAGGTGACTTACAGACGGTTTGGAGGGAGATGGAAGATGAAAGAGTGGACTTTATATTTGAGCAGATGCAAAACCTGTTGCTGTCTCTGAAACAAAAGATCAAAGATGGAAGTGCAACAAGCAAAGGTTTGACATAGTTGTAATTGTTGTGTAGGACTCAAATCAAACTTTGAACCACCTTGTTTGCTGCTCTTTGGTACCTTGTCAGATTGATGTATTTCTAAGTTTAAAATTGTGTACGTTATTGTGCCCACTATTGTAAAAACTCTCTCAATAAGTTGGGGAGCGCACAGCCAAAATCCAGCCCTGAACCAAGGAGGCATGATCAGGAAAAAAATTATTTTCTTCCTCCAAAAAGTGATTGGTTTGGGGCTTGAATGTAATTAATACCCCCTTAATTTAACAAATTCAATATAGTTATGCCACCTTTTTACTTGCTTTTGCTTTAGTTTCAGTGCAGTGTATAATTTTGGCAATAGCCAGCCTTCATTCCTAGGAAAGTTGTGTATGCGGATGCAAAAGAAAATAATTTATTACTTATTAGATTTATATGCTGCCCGTCTGGAAAAAGGCTCAAGGTGGCTTACAATAAAAAACAAAACAACTTATAAAAGTAGATAAAATTCCATAAACAATAACTTTATTTGTAAGTACATACATATATTATCTGTCCACTATACATGGGAGGCACTTCCATAAACAAACTGACATTTCTTGGACTGGAGCTAAGTATTTAATTTTTCCTCTTTATTTCTACTAGGTTTGAGAGAGCCCTGCTGTCCACAAACCGACTCATAACTTAAAACGTCTTTATCACTTTTGTTGGTCCAGTTGCCAAAACTTATCATGCCACTGAGCTCTAGAACAGTCAAATAAATAGTTTCTTACACACTTTACTAAGCTTTCTTAAGAGCTTGAGGCCAGGTACAGGCATTACATTTTTACTGGTGTAAGTGATCAGAAACCAGTCTTTCTCTGTAACAGAACAGAAGTTTGGTGCACACAGATCGGTTTAAAAATGGTGGAACCCAGTCTTAAGATTTGCCTCACCATCAAAGGGTGAATGTGTGTTCTGTTCGCTGCTGATCTAAACTACAGAAAACTGCAACTTAGATTGATTCTGCCTTGGGATGTTTGAATGTCTGTACCTAGCGTGCATCTTTGCAGTGGCAATGCATACGGGACACATGGGGGTACATGTGCCCCCCCTGAGAGCTCCAGTGCACCCCCTGTCAGGCTGCACTCCCTGCTTAGGCGATGGGCAGGGGGGCAGGCAGGAGCGCTGGTGCCGCCCATGAGCATGGGAGGACCAGCTGCCGCATCCCAGCTGGCACAGTTGGCTGTGGGGGTTCAACATCCCCCCCCACCCCCGACTAAGGTGGCATCAGTTGCCCGTGTCTTTTTTTTGCCTTTTCTATTTTTTTAAGTTAAAATGGCTAATGAACAGCATGGCTTCATAGTTATAGAGGGCTGTGATATTTATTTTCAAAAAATAACGACTGAGTCTTGTGTGTTCCATAATGCTTTGCTGTACAGGTCAGTCGCATCATAGGCGCATTTAACTTGCGTGAATTCAACGATACGAGGGGGGGGGGGGCTTGAGCTTGCACGTGGCGCTGCTGCTTACCTGGAGGCCCATTATGGCGGTGATGGCCACTGCCTCCAAAACCTCCTGCTGTCGCCATTGAGCCATGCCCGGAGCTGTGTGGCTGACCCGCGGTTGGCAGCATGGTGGTGGCCGGGCGGCACTCCGCCATCCCCACCACCACCCTGCACTGCGCTGCTGCCGCCAGCCTCACAGCTCTAAGCACGGCGCCGCATGCAAACTCAATCCCCGCCCCCCTCCCACCCTGCATACAGTCACCGATTTTCGCCTTGTGTGATTTTCGCTTTACGCGCTGACTTCAGCACCTAACCCCCCCCGTGTAAGATGCGACTGACCTGTATCAGCTAAACTCCCCCACTTAACTGAACGGGTTGGTTCACTTTACAAGTAGGACCTTTTGAGAGTGTCAGCTTTAATTTTGGAGATGCCACTGTAAGGTGAGGTTTCAACGGAAAATATTATAATAAAAGAAGTGGATTCCATTACAAGATTATTTTGGTCTTGATTTTATGATGTAACACTATAGCAGTACCTTGTTAAGAAGTACATTTCAAGTCTCTCAGGTCAAGAAAAATGCATAGTACAGATCTTTTAAGGATTGTTTTTGGTATCCATGCAATGCAAATTTTTAGGGGCATTTACCTTCTGGTGTGGTGGTAGCAGGCTATTGTTATGTGACTGAAGTTTGACTTGGTCTTCTCCTTTCCTGTGGTAGTCTTGCTATTAATAGGTGAAGCAGTTTTGAGGAGTGGTTTTTAATTGACTTCAGCAGAAGTCCCTGCTCACCCAGAAGGCATGGTAACAGGTGTTAAAAATGTATAAATTAAGCTGCATTAAAAAGAAGGCAGACGATGGATACCACCAAATCACACACACGAGGGGAAAAAAATTCCAGCAGCTCCCCAAGTCATAGAATTCTTGATTCTGGGTTGTTATTGGGGCCAGTTGTCAGTTTGTTATAATATGTGTACATCTTTACTAAGGATGTCAGTATAAAAAATTTCTAAATAACCTAAGTGTTGCAGTATATAGTGTAGCTAGGGTACAAGTTTTCTTTAAATTCCTGGCTATTTAGAAATTGCTACTTTTATCTAAATCTGGTTATTTGGAAATACTGAATCTGTTTTGTTTTGATTTTTAAACAGAGTGCTTCCAAGCTTGCATGCTGTTGAAAGAGGCTAATCTAAGCAATCTTTTCACATCAACAAATGGTAGGCACGTTTCAACTCTGTGTTTAATACCATGCTATATTTTAGCTTGTCTTAAATAGCAGGTGCTTCATTCAATTACAGTTAAATAAAAACAGATGTGGAAACCAACTGTAATATTGATTTAATCAGGTGCTGTAATGTAGCCAATTTTTTTTTGTTTTCACTTTCTTACTTCATATCTTCCACAAAATAAAGATGTGGCACTTTATAGGAGAAGTATCTTGTTTTCTGAACGAGAGAGTAGAGAAAGTTTAAGATCTTTCCTCATAAAACCTATTAAGCCTAGGGCGATAAATATGTGAGGGAATGAACGGTTTAGGAAGTGGAGAGTTCATAATGAAAGCACTTTTTTGGCCCATTAATAATTCTCAAACCTAAACGAGAGCCAAAGAGGAAGAAGAGAGAGAAGCTTGGTATGGATGTTAGTGTATTGGCAAGTGTTTCTTTCATGGCCTGTTCTAGCTTGTATAAGTAATCTTTGATTAAGAGAGAGGGTTGCAGGGCCAGGCCCTTAAAGTCCAGGAACCACTGAATTGGTACCCAATTTAGTTAGCCTGTTTTAAATCCAAAATGTGATCTGATGCCAGACACTAGTTATTGGCTAAATCCTATTGATTTCAAGGTACTAATTAAGCCAAATTAAGTGTGCTGGCTAATTTTGTGTGGGAACAGCATGAGCTCAGCTGTTAACACCTACTTAAAACTTATTACCTTATTGCTAAATGTTACCTTCAAACCTCTAAATAAAATTGGTGGGATCTAGACAGTCTTATAGCTACTTCTAGCACAGATCTGACAGCAGATGAAACGGGCTAGAACAGGGGTGTCAAATTCATTTGGCTCTGATAGCCAGACCTGGCCACGAGTCTCCTCATTAGAGCTGCCAGAACCACTGTCAGTACCACCAACTGTTAGTTAATGCCACTGCCTCTCAATTCCTCATTGCTTCAGTGACAGTATTAGTTTCTTCACTACTGGTGCTTTGCTGCTGGCAGCCACAGCGAGAAGCCCTGTGGCCTGAATGAGACTGTAAGCTGAGATTTCTAGTGTTTGTGTAGGAATGTAGGTAGGGTGATGGTGAGGAGTAAATGGTGGTAGCCTATATCTCTGCAAATTTATCCAAGTCCTGTAGGGGGGGACACTGACATTCTTTCCATTGGAGACTCTCTTTAGTAAGGGTTGCATAACTTTTGCCTTGCGTTTTATTTTTGCTCAGCTGTTCCATTAACGTAATGTCTATTTATAACAGTTCACAACAGAGAAGTGACTTGAATATGTTTAGGTAACTGACAGTTTGGTAAAAGGTTGAGTAATTTTCATTATAAAATGAACTTTTGGATTGCTGAAGACTGTGTTTGAATTTTTCAAGTAAACGATGTGACTGATGAAGATACCATGCAGAAAAGCGAATCTAGATTACAGCCTTCTGAATCAAATGGAAATAGAACAGATACAGAAGACAATTCTCTCTTGTGAGTATATAAGTTGTGTCTAATTCAAATGTACCATAGTTCATTTTTTTAAATATTTGCCTTGCAGAAGAGAATTTAGCTCTTTCTAACATCAAACGCAACTTTAAGCCCTTATCATGTTCAGCCAGAGACCAAGATCCAGTTCTGCCCCTTAAGTTTTCCACCCTGCTGGAGTTCTTGAAAATTTGTTAACACATATGTTTGTATTTTTCAGCCCTAAGACTGAGGCACAGAAAGTGGAGAGGAGCATGAAGACCCACCTACCTTTTTGTGCAGGGTTGAGTAGAATTGTGTAAGTGCATTCTTGCTCCAATTAGCTGAGTTCCTGAGAACCATTAACGTACAAGTTTGGTGGGTCCCTTCTCCTCCATCACTTTTTGTGACTTGGTCTTGAGGCTAAGATGAAGGTATGTTAAAGTAATGCCTTTTTAGGGACTCTGGCAAGGGGTTAGAGAATCATGCTTACCTAAGTGACTCATAGTAGCATATAGTTTAGCCCAAACCATTTATAATTTGGCCTGCGTAGAGGATTTGAATGTATCCACTGTGCCGTGTGAATATTGCCTTTTTTTCTGCAGCTAGAGATGGGATACAGGTTAAAAAAAAATGGGGGTGGGGGAGGAGGAGGTTAAAGTGTGAGCATTACATGGAATAAGTGAAATACTGAATGAGGCTCAGAAGACATGGGTTCAGTTCCACACAATGAAACAGCCTATTCAGGTCTTAGGGAAATTATTTAATATCTGCTCGTTTTAGTTCCTGGTTTCTAAAATGAGCTTAATTGTACCTCCTCTGTTTATGTTGTCTGTGTAGTTTAACCCCTTTGTGATAGGATCCATCTGTTGCCATTTATTTGCATAGTGCTTAGCCTCAAAACTCCACTGGGGCCCTGTGGCACTAACATAATACAAATAATTCACTGAAACCCAGGTCTCCTTGCTTCTGACCCCAGGTTATTCTCTCCCCAGTGAAAAAATCAGACAGAACACAATCATTATTAGTCCTCCCAGCTACCATTCAGTTTGTTTTTATTTTTATTATTTTGAACAGGAACATGGAAGAGAAGGAAAAGTCATGTTCAGAGAATGAAGAGGCAGCTAATGAAATCATGGAGTTACCTTTAACATTGCCTTATCAGAATCACAATTGCTCTAATGCATGTCTTGCCAACAGACCACTGAACTCCTACAAGAGTGAAAACCCCCTTAAGATACCAATCCTGTGTCAGTTCCAAAGACGACATGCAAAAGCAGACTGTCTTTCCAAGTCACATGATGTGAATTATAAAGCCCCCTGTGGGAAGAGTCTGAGAAATTTTGAAGAGGTGCAGAATTACCTGCTTGAAACAGAGTGTGACTTCTTATCTGTTGATCACTTTTCCTTCAACACATATGTACAGCTGGGCAGGAACACTGTAAACCAAGAACCACTTGTATTTGATTTTGATATCAGCAGTGGAGCTGAGGTGGTGCCCATTTCCTTCTGCAATGACATTGACCGTACAAGATTACCTTTCTTTAAATACAGAAAGGCATCATGGCCACGTGGATACTATCTGAACAACTTTTCCAGCACGTTTGTTGATTCATGCGACTGTACAAATGGCTGCAAAAATAGGTGTGTTTAAAAAAAAAAAAAAAAAAAAAAGGCTGCAAAATTATTATTGTATTTACTCAAATATAAGATGAAGTCCCCGCTGCCACCCCCCCCGCCCCAGTCAGCACGGGGTGGGGAGTTCATGTCTTATATTTGCATATGAAGTGGCGTGGGGAGCAGGCAGCTGCTGTGGCTCAGACTCTCGAGCCCTGGTTGGGGCCAGGGTCAGACCCACAGCAGCCTCCTGCCCACTACTCCACTTTCCCTCTGCAGCTTCTGCCCCTGTGCCCACCCCTTTCTTCTCCCTTACTGTCAGGTGTGGCTTGACTGGCTCAGGCTGGGGTCTCTCTTGGGCAAAGAGCACATGGAAACTCCTTCCCCTGCTCAGCCAATCAGCAGCATTGACACTGCTTCATTGCCTGCCCAGCCAATCATCAGCACTAATATTGCTGCATGGCCAGTCAAGGGCTGAGCTTCCATGCTCTGGGGGTCTGACAGTAAGGCAGAGTTGGGGGAGGGGGTGGAGGGCGAAGAGGCAGAGCCTGGAGAGAGTTAAGGGGTGGGGAGGGAAGAGGCAAAACTGGGGAGAGGGGCAGAGGCTGTGGGGAGCTGGGAGTGCAGGTGGCAGGAAGGCTTCAGGGGGAGGAATTGGGCAGGGCAGAGGGCAAGGGGTCCACTTGACCTTCCCACCCCAGCCACTGTTCTCTCTGCTGTAACAGTGTTGGGGGGGGGATTCAAGACAACCTTCCAGTACTTAGATTCTAGACCTAGAAAGTTATAACACATTTATAAATTTTCCATATATGGAATTGGATTATCGTGGGCAGTTATCTTATATTCAGGGTCATCTTATATTTGAGTAAATATGGTATGTCAATAATATACATGCAGTCCTCGACTTACAACATTTTGAGTTACAACATTTCGTACTTACAATTTTTATAAATTGACACCCTGTTTCAACTGTGTGATGTCAGTTTTGACTTTACAATGCTTGAATCTGATGCGATGCCACGCCAGGGAACAAGTTAGCTACATCACTCATCTCCCTGGAGAACATCTGTCCAAACTTCCTTGGACACTTTCTTTAAGAAAGCAGATAAGACTCCAGAAAAACCTGCAGCCAAGACTCGTGAGAAGACTCCAGCCAAGAACCCTTCAAAAAGTCCAGCAAAGTCACCTCAAAGAAGTCCTTCCAAATCAATGTGATTGCTATTTACAATATAAATACATTAATGTAGCTACATTACTCATCTATAATTGATCGAGTACAAAATTCTGGAGTATTTTCGTGAAAATAGGGTATCGGGCCTTGGTTCAGGAACCAATCCCCCATTTATAACATTGTTTCTTATGAGATAATTGGTTCTGAGTTGCAATGTTTCGACTTAAGACTTGTTTTTCAGGAACCAATTGTGTTGTAAGTCAGAGGACTGCCTGTATACAGTAATATGTAACAGAAGCATACAGTGTTTCAGATTATGAAGCTCCAGCTCCCTGCTGGAAGCACCTGACCTATAATATGTTCCTCCAGTCTCCTGCAGACCTTGAAAGCTGACATGTTAGAGCAGTGTAGGGGTTACAGGAAGGACCAGGTATCTTTCATGCAAGCCCCACAAGTCTTTGACACAGTAGTGTAAGGTGACAGTGTCACAGTCAGCATAAGTAACTGCACTTTTGTCTTTCTGCTGGGAGGGGATGAAGCAGCAGCAGGAAGGGATGCTGTAACCATTTTTTTTTCCTTTTCTTTGCTTTATGCATTTTTCAATATTTTGTTGGTAGGTAAGTAAGTTTACCTCCCCCAACTCTGTTGTGGTTGTTTGTGTGGGCCTATGACAGAGCATAGGAGACAGAAAATACATGAAGAAATGTTGTTTGCAGTCCCATCTACTACATAGATTTACAAGGATAAGATGTAGTTCCTGAATTAATTGGCTATGATGGAGAATTTGCCAACGTGCTTTTTAAACTGACTAGATTTAAAGGTGAAAGCATTCGTTTAAGTGCATTTTCACATGACCTTATAATGTTGCCTTTATTAGGTTAAAATGTGCATGCCTACAGCTGACTGCAAGAGGCTTTAGTGAAAGTTCCATGTCGCCAAATAAAGTACTTTGTGGATATAAGCATAAAAGACTGGAGATGCCCATTACTAGTGGGTAAGCAGCCTACAGTTCATATTGGTATTTTATCTATGTGCTTGAATATTTTGTTCACACCAGCCTGAAACAGCTCTTGTTTTGCCAGCATCCCATATTGCCTATTTTTATAGAAACTCTATTGCCTAATCCTGGTGAAATAAGCAAAAAACAGTTAAATACATTGAAACAAAATGCCACCAAATAGGGTTTGTTTTGCACATGCTACTTAGCTCAGGCTGCAAGAATGATATGATATTAGGATAACAGAACAGATACTGTGATAGTGTGGCATCATACACAGAAGATTGTGATGTGGTTGCCTGCAATAGCAGGGGACGGGACTCAGTGATTCAGGAGGTTTCTTCCATCCATGCATTTTTGTGAGTTGCCAGATCATGACTGACTTCTTGATGTCCTTTGGAAAAAAAAAGACCTCTTGCTGAAGTTGTGACAGCCTTTCAGCACTGTCTGCTCCAAAATATCATAGGTGTGGATAATTTAAAAATTCCAGTAATTCTGGATTTTTGATGACTATGAAGTCTGTGCATTTTGACTGTCTTGTCACTCCCCAGAAGGTGTTCTGGGGTAAAAAGAAATGCTTTGTCAGGATACCTGGAAGTTGTAGAGTCCTTGCTGAATATCTCTAGATTTTATAACTTCCCTATATTAGTCACTCTAATTTTTAGGGATGAACTACTGCAAACTGGCAGGAAAAGAGGAAGTCCAAGCTCAAGCAGTGCAGTGCTTTGCTAATTCTTTTCAAATATCTGTGTATTTTCAGTGATTTTATTTTTTGACTATCCCCTAAAGACATGGACACAAGTGACTACTTAATTTCCCTTTTTTTCATGACAGAATTTACGAATGTAACGTATCATGCAGGTGTAACCGAATGTTGTGTCAGAACAGAGTAGTACAGCATGGCATCCAGGTTCGGTTACAAGTGTTTAACACAGAAAAGAAAGGCTGGGGAGTCCGCTGCCTTGATGATATTGACAAAGGAACATTTGTTTGCACTTACTCAGGTAATATAAAATGATGTCTGAAAGGCTCTGGTGCAGTTACCCTCATCCTGTACGTCATGGAACTATTCCTGGTTGTCTGCAAACTGTTGAATTTTTTGAAGCAAACAGTGGGGTATTTGCAAAGTTGGAAGGGCCAGGTGTTCTATAGCATCTTGAATTTTGAGTATGATTCAAAGAATGAGAAACCCCCAAATCAGTGGTTCTCAACCTTTTTATTGAAGGCACTCCTCACTAGGACTCAAGACACCATTCCATAACTTATATGAATTGAGCAGTACCCCATTTCAAAAACTTAACTTTCTACGGTGTATACCTCCGTGTAGAGGGGCCATGCAGTGGGGGCAGGGGAATAGCCAGATAGGGATGATTCTGACCCTGTGCTTAACTTCTTATCTCTTCACACCTTGTGGCACCCTTCAAAGGCTCTTGTGTCACCCTTGTTGAGAATCCCTGCTATAGCTTAATAATGCTAGCCCAGCCTTCAGACCATTTTGGAGCTAGTCTTTTATGGCTCTGATGTCTTAAAGCTGTGTATGTCCTTGCCCCAATGGTCTGTGTTCCCTTCTAGATACCACACAAAAATCTGCCTTTCAAAATGTGTGTTAGCTTTTCATAGAATTATAGAATAGTAGGGCTGGAAGGGATCTTGTGATCTTGCCTAGTTCAGCCCCTTGCTCAGGGCAGGTTTGTTGCTGACTAAACCATCCCAGTCAAATGTCTGTCTGACATGGTCTTAAAAACATCCAAGGATGGAGATTCCACAGCCTGTCTACGTAGTCTATTCCAATGCTTAACTGTCCTCGTACTAAGAAAGTTCTTCCTAATGTCCACTCTAAATTGTCTTGCTGCAATTCAAGAGCATTGTGCCTGGTCACATCCCCTGCAGCCACAGAGAATAATCTGTCTTCATCCTTCATATAACCACACTTCAGGTATTTAATAATTTATCAAATCCTCAATCTTGTTTTAAGACTAAATAATCCTAAATCTTTCAGCCTTATAAGTCTTGCTAATTTAAAAAATGTAGCTGCAAGACAATGAGTATAATTAACAATTCTCTATCATTTTTTCTCTTTTTAGGCAGGCTGATGAGCAGAGCTGAATCTCAGGAAACAGGTGATGTTAATCATGAGGATAATGAACAAGATGCCGAGAGTGGCAGAAGTCACAGCTCACTTCCAAAAAAAAGAAGAGGGGATGCTGCTTGTTCAGATTCTGAGATTGAGCTTGTGCAGACTGGTAAAGGTGCTCTTCATGTGGAGTATGAACCTTTGACTCAACCTTTAGATGCTGAAAACAAACCACCTGAGTAAGTTATAGGAGCAAACTTAAGCTCAGGATACAATGTGTGCTACTATTATAACCTATAACTTAGCAACACATCCAAAGGTAGCTGAATGCCCTCAACTGAGAAGCCTTTTGAGTTTATTTTTCTTCAGGCAGGGCAGAACTGATCTGACTCTCTTTTTTTCTCCCCAAACCTGTAACATTCTTGGCATTTCCTAGGAATCATTGATTTCCTGTTTGTATACATATTCACGCTTGATCTTTCATAGTTATCCTTTGTTTTGTTACTTTGAAGACAGAATTGACAGTAATCTTTTATTTTGTGTTCCTGTATTGTAAATTAACTGTTAATTGTCCTGTCTCCCTGTTCACCAGTTTTAAATGGCTGTATCAGGGGACTAAAGCTCCAAACTTGTAGTGAATTTCATAGGGGTTCAGTGGTCTGCTTGGATAATACTCATTTTAGAATGAGAGCCTAATATCGTGTGATGTCTGCCTATGTCCTTAGACCAACACGGCTACAACCGACACCCCTATAATATTGCGTGAGAATTTCCAAAACAAAATGACATGTTGTCTCTAAACTTAGTCACTTCAGTTTGTAGCATGACATAGGCCTGACAAGAAGAAGCCATGAGTTGTGTGAATTCTCCTGAACTTAATTCCATTTTTCCATGAGGCTTTTTATACTTTTTCTGATTACTCATCCATTAGTAGTTACAAATCTTTGTTCATCTCATGGGTTGAATGGTTTTGAGGCTTTGTAAAGCATTTTGAGATCCTAAAATGGTTAGCTGGTTAAAATGGCAACTATTATTTTATATAGAATCTTTCATACAGGCTGTTTCTTACACTGCTTTAAAGTTGGGGAGTAGATAAGTAGGGATTGTAGCCAAGGTAATGATTGTACATGCATTTTCATTTGAGGGATGAAATACAAGGAGCCACTGGGGAACTTGTTCCACACAACAGGAGCTACAAGAGTGAAGGATTTTATACCAACATGGTCAAGATATGTGGAAGGGCACAGTGGGGAGTAGAAAGAAAAGGTCTGTGATGTATCCTGAAGCAAGTCATGACTGATAAAGAGGGATCCTGGTCTTTCCTGATAAAAAATCGCAAATTCTCTGATAAAACCCCCAAAATCTGTTATTAAAATTAAATGCCGCCCCCAAGCCCTGCTTGTGCCTCTCACTCTCCCCACCCCCCAGCTGCCAGGGCTACGGACCCAGGTCTGAAGCCTCCTGCTGCGGGCTCAGGCGGGGCGGCTCCCCATCACCATGCGCACTCCTTCAGGGCAGGGAGGAACCCATGGCCCCAGATCTGTGTGGGGTATAGGCTGCAGGCTTCAGCTCCTGCCCTTTTTCCCTCCTGCAGGGCCCTTTGCAGCCCCCAGGTACAACCTAGTGTGTCTGGGAACAGCAGGGCTACGTGGGGATCCCCCCCGCAGTCCCAGTGACTCGCCTCCTGTGCCTGCCGCTGCTTTGAGGATCACAGCCCCATGCTGCTTCCCTCAGTGCAGCCCCATGCTCAGGAGTTCATAGCAGGTAGATCATGCCTGACTAATCTAGTCTCTTTTTATGACCAGGTCACAAAACGCCTGGACACAGGAGTAGGGGTTGACGTCATATACTTAGACTTCAGGAAGGCCTTCGATACGGTATCCCACACCATACTGGTGAACAAGTTAAGAGGCTGTGACCTGGATGGCTACTCAGTCCGGTGGGTGGCGAATTGGCTAGAGGGTC